GACGAGGAAGTCCATTGTCCTCCTAGAATAAAGACCGTCGATGGACAAGCTTCTCTTGTACTCGAAGATCTTAATTAGAGGACTTATCGAATCATTGTTTTAACGTTGAATCATTAAAGTACTCGCAAGAGTAAATGATATATATATATATAAAATAATATGTATATATATATATATTGTGGATATCGATCAATGATGCAAAAATATCTCAATTATATTGAACACATAATAATTTGTGTTTTTAATTATCAAATCGATAATTTGTTCGAAAACGTAACTAAGTAGATAGATATCTAATTAACACAGGTAATATTGATTGCCTTTGGGTTAATACTCAGCTAATATTCTCTCAGGAACATAGAGTGATACAGGATCCTCTTTCGGATACCGAGAACGTGCTTACGAGGAAACTTTACCATGTACTTATGTTAGGTCATGTGATCTTGTAACAAAGACCTATCGAACGATCGAATAATAAGCATGTCAGCTAGTTTTAATACCAATATGAGTGCTAATAATTTATGTATGCTCCAACCAGCTTGTTGAATTATTTTCTTTTATCGTCGTTATAGTTTTTATCAATGACGATTTCTTGCCATCTTCACATAAATTGATGATATAAAATGATAGTGGAGCAAAAAGGGTCAAGTACGTTCGATCGATTGGTCTTTTATCGTTAAGATATATGACCAAGTTCTAAACAGAGGATACAATCATTCTGTCAAGAGAATTGGTTTCAGGATGTTTGGTAATTGCATTTTCCATTAGCAGCTTGTTCGTTCCTGTTAGATGTTCTAAATCGTGGAATAAGCCACGTTTGGCTTCGATCTTCTTGAACGATCGAGAATCTTGTGATTCCAATTAACCGATAACGAGAAAAAGTAATATCTGTTGGTCTTTTCTTCTCTCCTACCTTTTCTTTCTTGCTTCTTAACTCTTTCTTTCGAGAGGATTGCCCGCGCAGATCCGGCATCTGCAACTTTGTTGAAATAAGAGAAAGCGAGAGAGAAAGAGAGAGAGAGAGAGAGGGAGGGAGAAAGAAAGAAAGGGAAAGAGCAAAGGAAGAATTTTATAGGAAAAGAAGACCACAAAGTTTCCTTGGAATATAATACGAAGAGAAACTCATTTTCTTTCGTTATGTTTTGAAATCGATCGAGTTCCTTTCTCTCTATCTTTCTAAGTATTATAGATACGATATTATAGTTACGTCCATCTCACTTCCTTTCTCTTTCCATCGTAAAGTTAATTAACGATGTGTACAAATCCTCAAAGAACAAAGCGCCCGACCGTAATGCATCGGAACTAATTTATTAGCGTTTTTGCGACAACCTGGATTTCCCAAAGGCAGTTTCTCAGGTGGCGAACGATCGTATTCTCGTATTATTTGGTCGTGTGACGTAGCGAATGGCGAACATGCTCTATTCTCTCTCTCTCTCTTTCTCTCTCTCTCCCCCTCGTATTTGTAGATGGAGCCACGCGTGCACGCGCTCGTGTATGTGTCCATTGTTAATTAATGAAATGCATTGCACGAAAATGGATTGGTATTGGAATAACGAAGCCACTGCAATTTACGGGACGCGTATACGGTCGAATAGAGAGTATCGTTTACGTTCTAGCTTACTTCTACGAATTGTATTTGTACGTGTGTAATAGTAAAGTGCGTGTTTGTGTATATATATATTGTTACAAATATAACTTTAGCTTAATATACCATACTAAATATTAGTTCAAAATACGTAAGTGTCATTAATAATGAATAATCTCTATGTCATTTGTATACAGTTTATCGTATTTTAGTTTAAGCAATTCTATAAGTTGGAAATCTTTCCAGATCAAACGTATTTTTCTCACGGTTATTTTTCTATAGTATAGAATTATAAATTATCTTTTTATCTCTGTTCGCGCTTAAATGAGATAAAAAGCGAATTTTGTTTTTATTAACAGACATTTTGCTATCTTATCCAACGTAAATAGAAATAATCAACTACTTTAAAAGTTTGAATAGATTTAATACGGAAAAGCCTTTTGCAATATTTTCCATAATTTTAGAATATATTTATTATGTTTAATGTATGTATGACAAAACTTACAATGTAATTAATGGCAAGTTACTTTGCCATTAGGAATAGAATAATCCTTGTAAAATAAAATGTAAATATATAAAAAAGAGAGAGAAAAAAAAATAACCATATTAATAATGAACAACATTTGAGGTATTTAATTGCATATTCTGTTCGTTCATGTGTATTCAATTTATTTCTATTCTGTTTTAACTTTCTCGTCAGGGTCGTTTTAAAAATTCTTAATGTTTTATTAATTAGTTCCTAACATGATAGAAAACCATTATATTGTATAAAGATCGAACGATGAGCTGTATACTTTCATTTATTCCGTATTTTCAGACTCACCGTAGTGATAAAGAATACCGTCGGTGCGCCTCGTAGGTTTCAACGTAAAAGATAAATCTTCGAGTTAACTCGACGTGTAAGGAAAAGGCGACGGCTCGGTCGAAATCACGTCAGGCTGGATAATTTATATGAATCGTGCCGTGTGACTGTAGATATCGTACCGTTCGTTATACGCCAGTTGGCTTAGTAGAGAGAAGACAGTAGACATATTCTTGAATATATCCAAACGCGAGGATCAACGTAGATCCATACGAAACGTGTATTTGAAAAATAGTATATAAAATATACCTGTCATATTATATTGGGACTTTCTTAACAGCACTTATCCGAAGTATCCATTTCGAATGTGTGTGTATGTGCGATTTTCGATTAAATAAAATATATATTTTTGTTGTCGTAGTAAAATAAAAATAAAATTGTGTTTATATCTGTCTTTCCACAACAATTTATAACTCATGTGTTTTATCTATCTTTTTTATTTTTTGTAATTTTATGTAAAATTGCAAGTATTTTTTATTGAGAAACTTAGCTTAGGTAACTTCAGCGTTCTCTTTTTACTCTCTTCTTTTGTGTGTTACAGAATCATCATAAAAAATGAAAAAAAAAAAAAAAAAACAAATCCCTTTATATTTTTCTCTGTTTCTCTCTGATCCCAAAGAGATTAGTTTGTATTATATTATTATAACGTAATCCTTTCATACCGATAACTCATTCGATCCGATCTTTTCGCTTATGCGCGTCGGTAATAATTCACTAATACATTATTTGGATTCATTTAATCGGAAATACTCGCGATAAATCGTGCGAATTAACGTCAGCCTGGTGTCTCGTTATAAATACGCGTATACGAGAGATAACGTATACGCGTTACGGTTATACGAGAAGAGACATATTGTGGTAATAAATTGGTGATCGAGAGCGATGTTAGTGGGAAGAGGAAGAAGGCCGGTCACTCCTCGCTAAGCTTAGCTTGCGAGCGCGCAGAAAGCTTGTCAGGCACTTTCTGACTAATTGCCGGTAGGGTAGCTGTAACTCGGAAGTCTCGGGGAAATATTGCTTCCGTGAATCGAAGCGAACTAACCTGACCTCGAAAAGACATAAGAGCCTACTCTAGATATCCTAGATTATTCTCTTTACCTTAGAAACCTTACCTCCATTCACTTACCTACTTTCATTCTTGCTATGTTTACTATTTACTTATGAAGTTATTATACTTTTACTACAATAACGTTTATTTTCCTTTTTCTTTTTTTATTTTCTCTCTTTTTTTAGGGGTGGGTGGTATGTGTGTGTGTGTGATAAAAAATATAATAAAATTTAAGTAGTATGGAGTTAACTATATTATGGTATTAATTTATATGAATAATATATGAATTGATGGAGCAGATCTCCAAACCCTAAACAAATAGTTTTCGTCACCATTTTACGGATTTTCTTAAAAAACAATATGTCGAAGCCAGCTCGATCAACACCGCTCATAAATTTGATGTAATTTTCAATAACATTGGGCTTTTTTATAACGACTTGAGTACCGCCTCGTAGAATCCTTCTTACGGGAGCTGTTACCGCATTATTCCAAGTCGTCAAAGCTGTGAAGGTTGCTTGTGTCCGTGACATAAACAGTTTGCGGTACAGCTTTCATCTTCCTATAGAGAGTCACCCGAGATAAGACATTTAGACACCTCGCAATATGACCTACAAAAGGCCAAGTAGATCTTTCAAGCGATATTCCTTAGGTCAAACACTAATAAACACATCGATCTGAATGGTGCCTCTCAGGCACCGCTCGAGTTATCGCATCACATGCAGTGGTGCCTGAGAGGCACCGCTCGAGCGCAAAGGGTTAAAATATTAAAATTTGTTTTTCATTTCATCTGCTTTTATTTCTGCTTATTTTCTCTTTCTCTTTTCTTTTTTTTCATTTCCAGTTTGCATTTTATAGTTTAAAAACCATTACGTGTTACAAAGCTTTTATTCTAGTTTTTAATTAGGGATTAGGGATTAGGAAGAGTAAAATAAGATATATGCGTATATTATTTTATAATATAAAACATAAGTTTCACTTTAAAAATTTCTCGGGATAACTTTTTAATAGTAATATATACATTTTCATATACTTTGAACAATATATTTTATATCGATCGATAAATTTAGAAAATGAATGCGTTAATTAGCTAGAAATAGTCTACTATTCTTCAAATCTTGGATCATTTATACTGAGAGAGAAAAAAAGGTTTTACTCTAGCGTCTCGATGAAGTTCTTGACGTAATCCAAGAAAGACATTTGCGCATATTAATGGTTCAATTAATTGAAGAACAAACGTGCCTGTGGCAGGTCTTTCAGAGACAAGTATGAAAAGGATGAGATAGAGTCTGGCCTTGCCGTAGTTCATAATTTCGTGACTACTTTAGATTTTGAAAATATTTGATAATAGCAAAGTTTTTCGAATCTTTGATAAAAGAAAAAAAAAATAATAAAAAGCGGAAGTAAAATAAAAACAAAATTAAAAGAAACGTTCTATTGTAATAAAGGAATAGTCCGAGTAATATAAAACATTTTATTTCCTTCAGTTTCTCGTCGTTCTCCTTCAGAGACGTGCCTCCAGAGACGAGTATAATCGTAATTAACGAGGTAAAAATGGAGGCTGTTTGGAGGACACCTAGACAGTCTGTGGCAACTCTGCGGGCGCATGTACACCAAGTGAAAACTCATATTTACCGGTTAGCAAGCTCAGACATCCACAGTAATGCTATAGTATTACGCGATGCGCCGAGAATACAAAGAGTTACTTCTCTTTCTTCTAGGAGAAAAAGATAGAAAAGGAGAGAAAGAGAGTCTGGAAATAAGCCGGGGCAACGCGTTACGTGAAAATAAACGAGGGGGATCCTGATAAAAGGAATCGCTGTACGTTCTGCAGGGGATCTGTTTGGCTATAAACGAGCGTAACTGGTCTAAGACTGGTAGCACGTCTCCTTTAATACCTTAAGATCAGTTTCCATGGATAAAGTCATGACGGAGGGACAAACAACGCGTTACTGAGAAGGTACCGATCGTGTCTAAAGACCCGATTGATTTGTTTCTATTATTTTGCACTTGCCGATAGTACAAACTTTCATGAAAGAATTGATATAAAAACTGTCAAGAAATTTTTGATGTTACGAATATACAAGAAATATTATCTTACGATTATAACAGAGAGACAAAGAGAGTGAGAGGGAGGGAAAAAGAAAAAAAATAGAAGGAGGATAACGGTTAATACAATTTCTCTGTAGCACGGTAGAGATGCACACGTCGACAATTAAAAAGCTCGCAATAGTGGGCGAAAATAATTGCACTTCGTTTCGATGCGAAAGCCGGAATTCTAGCGGCACCAACAATAAAGCTGACCGTAGTTGGTACAACGAGGAGAGAGAGAGAGAGAGTTAGAGAGAGTTAGAGAGACAGGAAGAGAGAGGGAATGAGATAGAGAAGAGGGGATTGGTTAGAGGTTGGAGAATGCGATTGCACCGAGTGACAAGCTAGTATGTCGAACGACCAAATGGATTTTACGTGTACACGAAAAATAGGACCTCGATGTGTGCAGCATTGTGCAGCCCGTTTCGAGCCGAAGAGTCACGCGTCGCGACCGACGTCGATGCCAGGAAACCGACACAACAGAGCGTCTATTAAACGTACGTTTACCGCTTAACAATACAGCCAGACGATCTACGACATCATTTTCGAACGTTGCTGATAACCACCTCTAGAGATTATACAAAAAAAATCCTCCTTTCGCGATAGTATTATTTTTTCGGCTTTCACGAACGTACATTTCTTTTCTTCTTATTTCGTGGCAGGAATTTCACGAAAAAATCAAATTTCTTCGTATATTCCTTGGTACGGTAACCACGCTCGATAAAACTGATTTTTTGATATTCTTTTTGTTTTTATTATCAGGTTGACGGTCTTATGAAAATTTTGTAGAGAAAAGAGAGAACCTTTCATACTTACTTTCGATTGTCACAGTTTCGAGACTCCGGAAAAGGAATCCTTTTGCTCACCATTTCTCATGACATTTGCATATTTATGGAATTTAGAGAGAAAATTTATAGCTGATCGTATTTTAGCAGTCGACCGTTCGCACGACGTTCAATCACTATCGCACTTTCATTACCGCGTTAACTCTCTTGTTTACGTGCCGACATTACGTACTATGGACAACTCGTGTATCCGGCGTTTTCCCGTACGATACACGCAACCATCTCTCGCTCGTGAATGCTTATAAACTTTCAAGCTTTTTCTTTTGGACTTTTGATTTTTATCCAGGATCAAATACTTATTTTTCGATCAAAATATTTCAAATACCGATACTCACAATGTGTCTCTTTGTTTCGAAGATATTCTAACAAGGCAATTAATAGATATATTGATTTAAACGAAACTGTCAGGGATATTAATATAATTGGACGAATCGTTGAAAAAGAGAAAAACGAACAAATTTATTTATTATTTAGATTTATAGAAACGATTGTAAATATAATAAATTTGCTAATCCATTTTATAGTCCCGTATAACTTTGAAGTCACATACCGATATATGAAGATTTTTTCTGTTTAATTTAATATTTATCCCAAGTGTAGTATACATTTTTTTCTATAATCTCTCTTTGGTAACCGATAAAATTCTTTTTTAACGATTATCAATTTTTGTTGAAAATATAAGAGCATAACTGTACAAATTTTGATATTATACAAATAATAACCAAAAGAATAATATAATTTGTCAAATTCGTTATTCAATTGTTTATGAAATTTGCATATCATCAATTATTACGAATCGTTTGCATTTTATGGTCATTTCTTAAAATCGATAGATGATGAAACTTGTATCGATCGTAAACTTACTTATCATCGAATATTACGAAGCATTTGCATTGAATAATCTTTTCTTAAAATCGAAAGATGAAGAAATTTATATTGATCGTAAAGGAAATGGTTCAATCTAGGGCTTCGAGATAGGAAAGCGTCAGTTATAATTACATGCTCGCGCCATATATATCGGGTCATCGAGGCTATTGGGATATCGGAGGCGTATATTCGCCAACGGGCAGGTTGGTCAGAGCGATATTGGTTATTGCCTTCGTTCGTTCATTCGATGTTCTCCGAGCGTTCGTTGCATCCTTCGTTCAGCTAATCTCGAAATATTAGCCTCCCGGTACTCTCTTGCGACTTTCTATTCTGTATTTTCTCTTTCTATCTTTTTCTATCGTATATTCCATCCTCTCCGTTTTCCTTCAACCACCCACTCTCTGGTATTTTTTCATTATCCGTGGAATTTAAAGGGCCGGAAATATGGTTAAAGTGGCTTGGCGCGATATAAAGTAGCCACGTATAATGTTCCCTTTTTTTTATTTTTTTTTTATTCTCTATTTCCTTCTTTTTCCCTCTTTCTCTCTTTCTCTCTTTTTCTTTTTCTCTTTCTCTTTATAGAGATATCCTTTGAACTAAAATTCTCTTTTTCTCACGACGATCGTAAGTGGTGAAAGGACCAATCGTCGATGTGATTTTAGAGTACCAAACTAAAGAGAAAGTATCGTCAAAGATCCTTTATGACATTACTCTATGTAGAATTTACTTTTCTATCGTCAAAAATATTGAATTTATCATTGCATAGAATCAAATAGGTTTCGTTAGATTTGTACATAATTTAAAAATTCTTATCTTATTACTTTTAATATGTAATTTATTCAGTTAATATTTTTACTCATTTTTCTTTAGAATATTAATCTCATCTAAACTATAATATAATTGAAACGTAATATCCTATTAAATTTGATATAGAAAAACAAGAGATTAATGATGCAAGAAGAAGCATACAGTAGTTTCAATGTACCTATTGGTGAAAAATTGAATACCAAGTAACCAGTTTTTAAGGACTGCCAAGGACAACGGTGAACGGTGACAAGGATCGTATGTGTTCTAGCAAGGAATGGCAATGTTTCTTTCGGCCTGTTACGACAGCAGGCATTCAACTTCGGGCAAAGGATACGTCTGGTAATTGCGTTTGTGTGTAGCTAGGAAGTTTTATTTCACTGGCATTTATTCGGCAACGCGGAGACAGCGGGCCACTTAGTACGAGAGAGAGACAAATGTATTTACGTCGTGAATCTGCCAGGAAGCCCGCATCTACCGTTCAAGCTTTACCCCGTTTATCCTGGGATTCGAGTAAAATTACGAGAACCGTGCCCGAACCGAAACACCCCTGTACCCTTTTCCTTTTCCTTACCCTTTTCTCTTTTTTTTTTTCTTTTTCGTTGTTGAAAAATTTCGGTCGAGTCGATTAATTATCTCGATTGTGTAGGCAGCTACGAATAACATTTTTTAAGAGACCTTTCGTGGTTATTTTCTCAAAGATTTTTTTACCTTCAATTTCTATATGTATGTATGTTAGTAGAAAGAGTCAGCTACGTTTAATAAGATTGATCTCTTCGCGAAAGATAGAGAATCAAAAACCATAACGCAGTTATACTTTATGATAAAACTCGCGATAAAGTTGGTCACGCTCGTGCTCATTACTATTACTCATTTTTATCGACGATAAAGCGTTGAACTTGTGGGTCTCGCTTAAAAACATAATGGCTTTTAAGAAAGGCAAATATCGCGTGTGCTGATCTTGTTTCTTTCCGTTCGCGGATAGGCGATATTAATTTTGTTACACGCTATATAAGGTCAGAGTTACGTTAACGTGCGTGCATGTTTCTACTCGTTCTCTCCTACTTCTATTCCTCTCCCCCCGTTCTTTCTCTTCTACTATTCTTCTCTACCTCTTTCTCTCTTACTTTCACTTTAACTTACTAACCGGTTACGTCCATTACGCAACAAAGCTCGACGTACTGTTTCCCTATTCATAATGGCATACAATTTAGCGGAAAATTGGATTTTCACCTTAATCTCGATCCCTGCTACGCGACGTATCGTTAAAACTCGGTAATCTGAAAGCGTGGATCATAAAGAAGATAAAGTGAGAGAGGTGGGTGAGAGAAAGAGGTGGGTGTAAGAGAGAGAGAGAGAGAACAAGTACCTTCTCGTTTTCTACTATAACGCGATAGCTAACTCTGCTACGGCGCGTAAACGAACGTGTACGTGTAAACGCTACTCCGATAATAGATTCCCGCTTTGGAGTTCGGAGTTCTACGGTGAATCTGTAACTCCGGCGATCAAACTGCTTGCAAAGTTTGTCGCTCGAATCGAATGGGAGTTTGGCTAACTCGTACGTAGAACGCCATGGCTCTACTCTTCTCTCTTCTATCGTCGCCTAAACGTGGATATTTGTATGGTTATGTGTATGTATAAATATATATACACGTATGTAGTATGCGTGTACTAGTATAGGTATATCATATTCGTATATTTCCACACGTGTATCACGTTGTATCTTGCTTCGGTTTTCGATTTTGGGAAAACTTTGCTCGACTTTACAATCAGGCACCCCGCTCTTCTACTTTTCTTCATTGTCGTAGCTGTTGTCGTTGTCGTAGTCGTTGTCGATAGTATACGAAGACTGTCGAAGATTTTCTTCATACTTTTTCATCTTTATACTTTTGACTACAAAACGAGGCAACTCTTGTTATTTTCAACAAGAATAACATCTCACGTTGCAAAGTTCTCTCCGTGTTTTTCCGCGAAAGATTTGCGTTGTGCATGAAGCATAAACGTGAGTATTGATATTTTCTTCAAGACGTGTGTGTATATATATGCATGAACATTTTTTATTGATTTGATATAAGTTATATAAATGTTATTATTATAAAAAAAAAAAAAACGAGGATATTTTCGTAACAATTGATTTCTAATTTATTTTATTTTCATGATTTCTCCTATAACAATAAGATAATATTAGGAAAAATGTATTATTTCCATTCGTAAAAAGTTGGCGAATATTTGTGACGCACGCCGGGAAGCAATAGTGGCATTTTTCCTTGCGTTCGTAAATCGGCCGATGCGAATCGATAAATTTTTTGTAAACCTCCAGAGGCTTAGAGAACCAATAACCGATGATATAATG